GAAAGCATTGCACAATGATAAGTTAGACGAGGCAAGTTGAAACAAAAAAGAAAATGCCAGAAAACTGCAACTTATGCCATCAAGAGGGACCCTGATGTCTTAGTTTTCATAAATATCACGGTCAACTTTGGTTGAAAATAAGTCCATCAGATTCGCCATAGTCGAAAACCTATACCAAAATTTGTTTCTGACCTTAAATAGTGGAAATGGTAGATGAATTTTTCGCAAAACCGGACCCCCTGGGATGGTCATATCGTCTGCAAAGTTCGACATAAAAAATTCGACCGACCCCAATTCTTGTAGATCTCGACAAGACGAATCTAACCGTCATAGTAACATGGGGTCTCACAATTACTGCTGGGCCGGTGGCATGCCCACAAGATCGTGGGCACCCCCAAAGGTCAAAAAAGTGAACTAAAAAAATTGGCTTGGATATGGTTTTGTAGCCTTGAACTTGTTATTAAAAAAATGGCCACCCGCCTTTTAATTTGAATTGGATATTAGTTTAAAATAAAACAAACCCGAACTCTGCAGCTTGAAGTATTTAAAAAAATCTTGGGACGCCGTTCATGGTCCTTTTGGGACCTTGATCTCTGGAAAATTCCTAAACCGTAAGACTTGGAGACAAAAAAATTTTTTCATTCCCGTAACTAATTGTGCCGAACATTTATGGAAAGTTTCGTCAAGATCGGATGCACGGTGTCCAAGATAATTTCTGAGGTGGGGGGCCCTTAAGCGGGTCCTCACAGCGAAATCTGCAAAAAAGCCTTTAGGACATATTTAGCCTGATACGTTTATCTTCTTTTAGAATACAGAATTTGTGTCTCCATCCGAAAGGTTCTCAGGTGTCTTCCAGAATGTTTTTCAAAAACCCTAATACCGTACGGCTTTATCGCTGCCGAAATAATCAATCAGTAAATAAATAGTCCTCCATTTTCCTCGTTGCGCACCGTGAACCTTCTGTTCAGTAATATCGAACATTTGTACTTTTCAGGTTGAATTGTTCTTACCAATTTTTTTGCTTTACCACAAGTTCCACCATTAGTATTTTCCCTATTTGAAGTCCATACCACATTTCCATAAAAGACATTATGTTCGTTGGAATAACTTACCATTTATGTTGGCCAAAAGCGAGCTGATAATACTTACATTGAGTGGTACTCAACAGATCTTGCAGTATAGAAGTTTGGACCTGTCGCGATAATCAACCAGTCACACATGAAAATATAGTTAGTTTTGTCGGCAGCTTATTTTCAAACCGTCGTACAGGCCCGAACACCTCTCTTGCAATGCACATACGTCATATCATTTCTGAATATTCTAATGTACTACAAAATCATCAATGGCAATGTCTCAAACAAAATTTTTTTACGTTCTGTCTATTGTGACTGTATCTTGGATTTTGTAACAGTAGTGATTATCTACTGCTGGTATAAATATAGTTGTTCGATAAACGCATGCCATCTCAAAACACCGAGCCACTGGAATATTATAATACAAAACGCTTGGAGAAACAACAATCACAATAACAAATGACTATTTTTATTTGAAGATATCTGACTCTCTATTTTAATTATAACTTCTATTTCTGATTCCGCACGAATCTTCACTACCTTCATGCAGCTGTTTTCTGTTTTTTTAATCTATTTCTTGGTGTGTACATATTATATATGCATATACAGCCCAATATAAACAGCATCTTTAGAAAACTTATTAATCTTTTAATTGAGATGAAGGTCATTAGAGGACACTGTTGTATGGGTCTTGATGAGTTCTATCGAACAATGTGCATATTAGCTTTCGACCAAGTCGCAGAAGGAATCTGTGAAATGTTTACTGAAGAACTGTAACTTTACGTATTGAAAAAACCAGTTTTTTTAAGTTTTTCTCATAAACTATTGTTTGTTATGAAAAAGGAAATACAGGGTTTTGTAGAGCCTGTCGAGCTCTGTCTGGACCAGTTCTCCTCCAGTTTGGACCAAGTCTGGAAATGAATGTGGGCCAAAAATATTCCAATCTGGTGCTAACATTACCTGCGTAAATTCTTCAGGATACTAAAAAATAGCTGGGAGTGTACGACGACTCATCGGTTTGATAGCGAGCGTAGCTTGCAAGGATCACCATAATTCAAATGAAACTTCTTATACCAAAAAGTGAGTTACTTAAATGATTTTCCTTTTATTTAGACCTTCATTTCTTTCAGCAAACTGTACTTAGCTACAACTTCGCGAGTCTCGTGGAAGACCATAATGGCGACCGTCAGAATGCTAGTGGAATCAGTCATTGAATGTGCCTGTTTCATAGAAGCGTGGAGAACCGTAAAACGCAAGATTATTTTGTTTTTCTATACGATCATGTTTTGGAAATAGGTTTTACTATTACTGTCAGCTTAAAATAAGAATATGAACTCACAAAATGTACTTTATTAGAAAATAAAATCAGTCCATAGGTATTGACTAGCTACGAAGGTGTTGTAATACGGTCGTAAAATTGATTTACGACACCGTAATCCTCTGCTTCGTATACTACCGCCGCAAACGAGCGTGTTACGGCCATAAACAGTGTCGTAAAAGGTTGTTTGCGGCTGCAGTGCTACGGTACATATAATTACAGTCAAACTACGTGCAGTTACGGCGTGTTGCGTTACAGTACACGGTCGTAGTTAGCTTTATATGGCCATCTTAACCAATGATCTGGGTAATAAATCTCTTAAGGAAGCAGAATTTTGGTACATAGCAGAATGACTAAAAGGAAAGAAAGAGAAAAACAAAGTAAGATGTATTATTCGCATTTCTTTTAAGAGAATTCAACAATAACTTACCTTTTATTGTATTTCTTTTAAAATTTTATTCACATTGTGAATGTAAGCATCGCCTTTATTTTTCTATTTATGGCAACATCATTTCGAAAATGTGAAATTGATGAATGTAAAAGAAATATAGCTGCCCTCTGCCGTCATTGTAACAAAGATGTATGCAATAAACATTTCAATGAACATTCGGAAGCACTCAGAACAGAAATTTATCCGATAACTGATCAGATAAATGAGTTGGCAAACAGAATCCATGACTTAAATCATGCTTCTATAACTGAACAATCTTATGATATATTATCCAAATGGAAAGATGAGTGTCATAAATTAATCAATCAAGTGCACGATATGAGGAGGCAAGAAATTGATAGTTTTGTAGAGAGAAATTTTGTTAAACAAAAAAATGAGCAAGTTAAAGCGATTAATAACCTCAAAGAAGAAATAAAACTAATTATTCGTGAAGATGACATTACCCAAGATCAAATCGATCAAGTAAAACAGACTTTACGAAGTATTCAAAATACTTTTGAAGAATTTAAACAAAATTCTATTCATATCAAAACGAAATCATTAAAAATCGACAGAGATTGTATTCTTATTGGCACAAGCACAAATACGATCGTTGCAGAAAAGTTACCCATCTCAAAGAACTTAAGTTCTATATTTATTGGAAGCTCGCTGTTATCTCGAAAACAACAACTAACGCTAAACGAATTCTATGGTAATGTAAATCAAAAGTGGCAATTAATTTATCAAGCAACAAGAGATGGTTTTAATCCAGATACATTTCATCGTCTTTGTGATAATATTAGTCCAACCATGACCATTTATCAATCTAACAATGGAGGATATCTGTTTGGAGGTTATACAAAAGCAATTTGGAATATCCATCCATCAATGCTACGAGAAGATTCAACAGCGTTTTTGTTTACACTAACAAATCCACATAAAATTCCACCAACAAAGTATAAGATTAAAGATCAAGGATGTGCTTCATATATGGCACATAATTATGGTCCTACATTTGGTGGCGGAATTGTCAAAGGCAGTGATATATTTATTCTCATGAATGAAACTTGTTGCGGGAATATCAGTTTTCCTAACGCATATGTTGATACAACGAACAGAGGAGAGCTGACTTTTACTGATAGTAAGAGTTTTCTTCTATCCGATATTGAAATATTCAAATGCATATAAAATTAAAATTTCCAACGAAAACAACGGCATATGTGAACGATCTATAAAATTAAATAGCAGAAAGTTTAAATAAAAAAAGGAACACTTTCATCTTTATATTTTATGATTTGAAAATACTTTATCTTTAGCTTTTTTTTATTGAAAGAGACATAAAAATATACACCTGACATTGAAATAAAAATAAAAAACAAATGTGCACGAAACCTTTATAGTTCTCGTTTCTCTGATATACACAGATTATCGAAATATTTCGTAAAAATCTTTCTTAAACATAATCAAAAAGATTATTGCCACGACTCCCGTCGTCGAATGAAAATGAAGTAGGTCACTCAATTTATTTTGTACTGTTAAACAAAAAAAAGATGACTTTTACCTGTAAAAAGGTTTAGATTAAAAAACTCAACATGATCTCTCTTTCAATGGGGTCTAAAAAACGTAGCCAGCAATCAGATTTTTCCTTCGTCTACTACTGCGAAACAAAGTGAGTTGCGTTCATATTTCTTTTACAATCTACTTTCAAGCAGAGTTGAAATCGATTGATATTTTTCCAATCGTAGTGGAGCTCGTAATGGTCTACTGATGTGATAGTTGTTCGTATTTATTTAAGACATGTTCAACAGTTCGTTTTTGTATGATTAGGTAAGTTGATATGTTCATATTTGAAAAGTACAAGAAACTTTATCGTATCAACATATAGGTTTTTTTTGCTTGAGATGTTGCCAACATGGGACTAGTGGACTTTATAACCCATGGCACAACTTTTACCCAACTTTTTATAACCCATGGCCATCTGAGTGAATCGGCACTAGTTTGGCCCTGACATATGATCGACACACCAGCAAAAATAATTAAAATAAGATTTGCAGCGAAATAAAGCAGAATAATAATAAAAATTAAACGTTGACGAGTTTCGAACCTACTCGCTTATCCACTTATTCTGTTCTTTTCTTCATTAAAGTAGAAATGGGAAGACATTATATGTATACTTTTTAAAGCAGCGTAATGTAATCTCTCTAAGAGTCTAAAAAGTTTCACTGCAAAATTGTTTTGGCACAGGAAAACTTCCAAATACTGACCCAAATCACGAAATTTGTTTATTCCTTACAGCTGTTAGTAAAATATTTTAGAATAGGCTAGTTCCTGTATACAGGACTGTTTTAGCAGTTTTCGAATGTCTCTCGAAGGAAAGCATATTTTTCGAAAAGAAAAAAAATAACCTGATATAGAGTCCAAAATATCTGTGGTACAATATTCAGCTCGCTTATTTTTTCAAGGAATTATAATGTGACCCTGGAGTTTTTCAGAAAACGCGTACAAGAACATATCAGAAAATTCTGTGCAAAAATACATTGATGTTCTGTGTCTGGTATAAATTTCACCCCGATCCGACATCGGCTTCCCCTTTTTTTTTGGTAAGAATGGTCAGAAAAGAAGGAGATACTCTTAATTTTGGAACTAACTCATTCTAAAATATTTTTCTGACAGCTGTAAGAAATAAACTAATTTCGTGATTGGGTCAGTATTTGGAAGTTTTCCTATAACAAAAAAAATTTCCAGCGAAATATTTTAGACTATCATCCGGCAGAATAATTATTGTTCAGCCAAAAAAAGAATGGTATATGACTGTTTTTTGAATAACTTTCGATAGGAAAAAGCTAAAGAGCTTCAATTTTCACCATTCGAAAGAGACATGGGGACATGTTTTCATAATCAAAATTTTTCCCAGAAGAGCTTTCTGAAACAGGTTTTCTAGGGAATCTTTGGAAAACTAGGTCGTGTGCAAAAATTTCCAATAGGATTGTATTGATTTGTTTTCACAGACTGACAGCTGAGGGTGTCCTTTTCAAATTGAGAGTCAAGTGAGACCTTGATTTTCTGCGCTTTGGACGTTGTACCGGATTTCCTACGAATCCCATGACTGGCATCCAGTGACTAGCTCATAGCTTAGAAAATTTAAGTACGAACATTTTTCTTTATGAAAACATAGCTCAAAGTGTTTTGTTCAAAACGGGAGCCAGATGATACCTCGATTTCCAGTGATTCTGGCTTCCTTGGAGCCCCAGGACTGATATCCGGTAACTTTAGGTAGTCTTGAAATCGCATAGAACTGGCGTAATCGGATATGCTGAATCTTACGACAATGTTTGTTTTTGAAAAAGACTCCAAAAACCAGGTCAAAATCGAATTTTCTGAATATTGAAGTTTCCATGCTGTTCTCTCCGTCGAAGAAATGTTTTACAATTTTACATCGTCTCCTGTAAATAAACGAAACAAAAGCATTCTTTTTATATCAACAATCTTTATTAAAGGATAGAAAATTAGAATAAAACCGAGATCATATTCGGAAAGAACACAGTCAGACGAATACGAAATAAAAACGAATTTTGTTTTGTTATATGATAAAATGATTCGTGAATTGAAAACAATATGTACAACTGCTGAATTTATCTCATTGACGCTAGATATCTGGACTGATTGGAGAATGAGACCATTTTACGCTGTAACTGGTCATTCAATCATTGATTGTGTTTTTAAATCATATGTTCTCTCATTTCTGTCATTAACAAGTATATCTTTAATTTGATGTATTTGAATGTGTTTTCTCACGCGACGTTTTTCCTCTAATCACAGGTAGCCACACTGGTGAAGCTTTGCTAAATGAATTTGAAAAAATAATTTCATCAGATTATAATATTGAAAACAAACTGGTACAACTGGTAACCGATAAGGCTGCTAATAATGTCAAAGCATTTAAATATTTGATAGTTCCTGGTTTTGAGCATTATTTTGAAGGTGATGAAGATGATGATGATGATTCGGAAACAGATGAAAATAATTTAAATGATAATACTGAAAATATATTTAACACATTGGCCCATGATAATTCTGTTAATTTATTACGTATTCCGTGCTTTAGTCATAATTTACAACTTTTAGTGGCTGACGGTTTCAAAGAATCGAGCTGTTTCTTCGTTGGTTAAAGTTGCTAAAATAGCGAAATACTCGCATCAGAGTAGCAAATTCGAGGAAAATTTGGAAGCCAATAAATATTCAATACCGGTTGCTTGTAAAATTCGTTGGAACAGTCAATACAATACTGTTATAAAAATAATTGAAATACGAGTTAATGTATTAAATGAATATTTGAACCACTGCAATAAGGAAGAATTATATTTAACATCAAGAGACATTGCAATACTGTGTGAATTCCTCTCGTTGTTCTCACTTTTTGCCGAAGCAACTGTACGAGCTCAAGCACAAAATTCTCCATCGATAAGTTTGGTCGTACCTAGTCGTCTTGGTATTTTTTTCGATTTGGAAAGTGAATTGAAAAATTGTTGTATTTATACGTCGAGTTTACGTAAGATATTGATAACATCGTTAAAAGCCCGCTTTGGAGGTCTTTTCGAAAGATTCGATATTTCCATCGAAAATATGGTTAAAAAAAGATACGTTTCACCTTTTTAAAGATGATATTTTTTTTTAATCATACCATTTCTCGACGCAAAATTCAAGCTCAATTGGATAGTTTTATCGGAACTTTCTGATCCAGCGAAAGAAAGTTTGTACCAATTAATAAAAAAGTTAGTTACTGATGCTGCATTCCAATTAAATAGTAGTAAAGATAGCAGTAAAGATAGTAGTAGTTCGAGTAATTATTAGAATGCAGCGGATGATGATAAAGGTGAAAGCTCAGACATTGTTTCAGGTGAAAAACGAAAAACACTTTTTGGTTATTGTTCATCACAAAATAAAATAAAAAAAACACGTATAGACATACAAAATTCTATTCAAGACGA